GCCACAAGAGGACGCCACAGATCCACGTGAGCGAGGGGCAGCTGCTCATCCTGCCCTGCGACCCGGCACACGGCAGCAGAAACGTGAGCTGGAGCCGAGAGGGACGCAGGCTGGACCAGAGCACGAGCCCGGGTCAGGAAGTCCAGGAGGGTCAGGAGGTCCAGGAGGGTCAGGAGGTCCAGGAGGGTCAGGAAGTCCAGGAGGGTCAGGAGGTCCGGGAGGGGCTGGAGGTCCTGGAGGGGAGGCTCTGGTTCACGCCTGTCCAGAGGAAACACAGCGGCGTTTACACCTGCACCTACAGGTCAGAACCGGTCACTGCACCTGTCAATCACACCAGCTGAGATCAGGGACACCGGACGCAGCTCCACATCACAAACTGTTTCTGTCACATGACCCCGAGTTTTTATTTCAACATTTTGTCTGTAAATAAATTCCCAGATATGAAGTGAAGTCTCCCCCATCAACAGTGTTGGGAAGTTTACTTTTAAAATGTAATCCCCTACAGATTACAGATTACACACACCAAAATGTAGTTTGTAACATAATCCATTAAATTACTTAAAGTGAGTAATGTAATCTGATTACTTTGGATTACTTGATTTGCTGTAGAGAAACAAAGACGAGGAAATCTTCACATAAGAAGTTTTATCTGCTAAAAGAAAATGAAAAACCCAAACTTTACTGAACCAAATAAAAAATATTATTGATAGAAAACGAAGAAACACGTCCACAAGGCCTCGTTTAGTCCTGTTAAATCCTGTTTGAGACATAGTTTAGACCTGGTTTTAGTCCTGGTTTAGTCCCGGTTTGGACCTGGTTTAGACCTGGTTTAGTCCTAGTTTAGACCTGGTTTTAGTCCTGGTTTAGACCTAGTTTAGTCCTGGTTTTAGTCCTGGTTTAGACCTGATTTAGTGTCCGGCAATGAGTGGAATTACCAGGAAAAAAAAAAAAGGGATATAACCCAAAAGGTGAAAACAGGAAAATCCCTCTGTTTAATCCATTTATTTCAACAAAGTAACTGTAATCCAATTACCACTCACTGAAACAGTAACTGTAACTGAATACAGTTACTCATCATTTGTACTCTGATTACATAACTCCAGTACATGTAATCTGTTACTCCACAACACTGTCCATCAAACACAAACCTGCACAAAAACTGTGTCAGTCGTTTTTCTGCTGCAAAACGTTTAGTTTGTGCTGCTTTAACTAAGACTGAGACTGGGAACAGGACCAGGACTAAGACCAGGACTAAGACCAGGACTGAAAACAGTTTAATCCTGGTTCAGTTCGTTATCCGTTTTTTTTTTTTTTTTTTTTTTTTTTTCATTTTTCAGTTAAACACAAAATTGAAAACTGAAAAAACAAATCATTATCAGTTTTTTCATTTTGGTTTGGAGACAAATAATGAAGAAAATCGTTGTGTTTTTTTTTTTCCGTTTTCTTATTTTTGGTTTTATTTTGAAAAACGAATAAACGAACGACACACGGACTCAACTTGAGGACGAGCACTGGGACATGTCACACTCACAACACTTTCACACAGAAGACGTAACCCTGCTGTGTGTGTGTGTGTCTGTGTGTGTGTGTGTGTCTGTGTGTGTGTGTGTGTGTGTGTGTGTGTGTGTGTGTGTGTATAGGACCCAGTTTGGAGAGCACCAGGCACACGTGGAGGTGTCCGTGTCCAGGAAGACGTGTCCGTCGTCGGGGGAGAGAAAACTTGTGGACCAGGGAAAGACCGGGATCATCCCCTGTAAACTCCACGAGCGCTACTGGACCTACAACGTGAACATGACCGGACCCACGCGCTGGATGAAGGTCCAGACACACACACCTGACACACACACACCAGACACACACACACCTGACACACACACTGGACACACATACACACCTGACACACACACTGGACACACACACTCCATCCATCCATTTTCTTCCGCTTATCTGGGGTCGGGTCTCGGGGGCATCAGTCTAAGCAGGGACTCCCAGACTTCCCTCACCCCAGACACTTCCTCCAGCTCCTCCGGGGGGACCTGAGGTGTTCCCAGGCCAGCCCAGAGACATAGTCCCTCCAGTGTGTCCTGGGTCTTCCCCGGGGCCTCCTCCCAGTGGGACATGAACACCTCCTGAGGGACACGTCCAGGAGACATCAGAACAGATGCCCGAGCCTCAACTGGCTCCTCTCGACGTGGAGGAGCAGCGGCTCTACTCCGAGCTCCTCCCGTGTGACTGAGCTCCTCACTCTGTCTCTAAGGGAGACGCCCAGACGCCCTGCGGAGGAAACTCATTTCGAGCGCTTGTATCCGCGATCTCGTCCTTTCGGTCACTACCCAGAGCTCATGACCAGAGGTGAGAGGAGGAACGAAGACTGACCGGTAAATCGAGAGCTTCACCTTCCGACTCAGCTCCTCTTCACCACAACGACCGATACAGCGACCGCATCACTGCAGACGCTGCACCTGTCCACCTGTCAATCTCACGCTCCATCCTCCCCTCACTCCAGAACAAGACCCCGAGATACTTGAACTCCTCCACTTGAGGCAGAGACTCTCCACTCGCCCGGAGGCGACACACACACACACACTGTCCAGGATAATTAAAGGTTGTATGAAGGACTTTCCCTCAGTAGAATCGTCTCCTCCTGTCTCCTCTTTACTTTAGAAATCGCACTCGTTTTCAGTCGCTGAGCTTGAACAAATCTCTGTTGAAGTTTCTTGTCCAGAAGTCAGAACATGAACCACGTGATCCCAGCGCGACGACGAGTCAGTGACGATACAAACAAAGAGAGTTTAGTTGATGTTTATCTGACCCCAACACGTCCGTGGGCGATGGACTTTCATTTGATCATCGTAATTCCGAGGCTGATGCTTCTAGAATGATACTTCCAACTGTCAGTGACAATTTGATACAACCTTTATGTATAAATAAGTTTGTTTACGTGTGTGTTGTGTGTGTGTTGTGTTGTGTGTGTGTTGTGTTGTGTGTGTGTATGGTGTTGTGTGTGTGTTGTGTTGTGTGTGTGCAGGACTGTGCTCCTCTGCACAGACCGGGGGCCCCTGTGTGGGTGGATGATGAGGGGAACCTGTTTCTCCCTGGGGTCTCGTCTCAGGATGAAGGGAAGTACAGCTGCTTCGTAGACGTCACAGTGAAGGGACGGAAATACAGCGCCTCCTGGAGCGTGGAGGTCACACTGACCGACGGTACGACACACACACTTCAACTCATCTTACTCTCTACTCTCATGTACTGTGTACTTTCATGTACTGTGTACTTTCATGTACTGTGTACTCTCATGTACTGTGTACTCTCATGTACTGTGTACTCTCATGTACTGTGTACTTTCATGTACTGTGTACTCTCATGTACTGTGTACTTTCATGTGTGGTGTACTTTCATGTGTGGTGTACTTTCATGTGTTGTGTACTTTCATGTGTTGTGTACTTTCATGTACTGTGTACTTTCATGTACTGTGTACTCTCATGTACTGTGTACTTTCATGTACTGTATGTACTGTGTACTTCATGTACTGTGTACTTTCATGTACTGTGTACTCTCATGTACTGTGTACTTTCATGTGTTGTGTACTTTCATGTGTACTTTCATGTGTTGTGTACTTTCATGTGTTGTGTACTTTCATGTCTGGTGTACGTGGATCCTCGTGTGGTTTACCCTCGAGACCAGGTTCTCCCAGTGACTCTCGGTAAGATCTTTAACGAGCCGCGTCACACTGTGTGTTTCATTCACATGTTTATGTCACAGATAATACTCCCTACAACTGTGATGTGTGTGTTTGTGCTGCAGAGGGCAGTGTGATGTGTGTTGTGTGTGTGTGTGTGTGATGTGTGTGTGGTGTGTGATGTGTGTGTAATGTGTGTGATGTGTTTTGTCCTGCAGGGGGCAGTGTGATGTGTGTGTGGTGTGTGATGTGTGTAGTGTGTAAAGTGTGTGTGATGTGTGTGTAGTGTGTGTGTGATGTGTGTGTAAAGTGTGTGTGATGTGTGTGTGTTGTGTGTGTGTGTGTGTGTGTGTGTGTGTGTGTGATGTGTGTGTGATGTGTGTGTAAAGTGTGTGTAAAGTGTGTGTGATGTGTGTGTTTGTCCTGCAGGGGGCAGTGTGATGTGTGTGATGTGTGTGTGATGTGTGTGTAGTGTGTGTGTGATGTGTGTGTGATGTGTGTGTAAAGTGTGTGTGATGTGTGTGTGTGTTGTGTGTGTTGTGTGTGTGTGTGATGTGTGTAAAGTGTGTGTGATGTGTGTGTGTGTGTGTGTGTGATGTGTGTGTAAAGTGTGTGTGATGTGTGTGTTTGTCCTGCAGGGGGCAGTGTGATGTGTGATGTGTGTGTGATGTGTGTGTAAAGTGTGTGTGATTTGTGTGTGATGTGTGTGTGATGTGTGTGTTGTGTGTGTTGTGTGTGTGTGTGTGTGTTGTGTGTGTGTGTGTGTGATGTGTGTGATGTGTGTGATGTGTGTGTAAAGTGTGTGTAAAGTGTGTGTGATGTGTGTGTTTGTCCTGCAGGGGGCAGTGTGATGTGTGTGTGATGTGTGTGTAAAGTGTGTGTTGTGTGTTGTGTGTGTGTGTGTGTGTTGTGTGTGTGTGTGTGATGTGTGTGTAAAGTGTGTGTAAAGTGTGTGTGTGTGTGTGTGATGTGTGTGTTTGTGTGTCCTGCAGGGGGCAGTGAGTTGTGTGTGTGTGTGTGTGTGTGTGTGTGTGTGTAGTGTGTGTAAAGTGTGTGTGATGTGTGTGTTTGTCCTGCAGGGGGCAGTGTGATGTGTGTGTGATGTGTGTGTGTGTGTGTTGTGTGTGTTGTGTGTGTGTGTGATGTGTGTGTAAAGTGTGTGTAAAGTGTGTGTGATGTGTGTGTGATGTGTGTGTTTGTCCTGCAGGGGGCAGTGTGATGTGTGTGTAATGTGTGTGTTTGTCCTGCAGGGGGCAGTGAGCTGTGTGTGTGTGTGTGTGTGTGTGATGTGTGTGTAGTGTGTGTAAAGTGTGTGTGATGT